TGTTAGCTCAAGGAGTCTAATCAACCCTACATAACCTTGAGCTACAAAACAACCCCCCCAGAGATAAAGAGAGGAGGGGGTCTTGTTCGGTGTCCTGTTAATTCAGCCTATGTTATCTCAATGAGTCTTATCAACCCTCCCTATTCTATCCTTGGACTACAAAACAATCCCTTCCCCCCATGTTGCAGGGATAAAGAGAGGGAGGGAAGGGGTCATGTTCTGTGTCCTGTTCACTCAGCCTGTGTTATCTCAAGGAGTCTTATCAACCCTCCCTGTTCTATCCTTGGACTGCAAAACAATCCCCGCTCTCTATCTTGGAGAGATAAAAAAAGGGGGGGGGGGATTCCATAGTGTAGCAAAAGACAACTACGCAGGGCTGACACCTCTACTTCTGATTTCAGTCCACAAAGGGCACTGTGTTGTCAGCCCGTGATGGGATATTAAGAGCCGAGTGCATTTCTGGCAGGCCAACACGTACGTTTCTGTACCTGCCGGGTCTTTCAAAGGGATAAAACTTGGGAAAATGAATGCGTTGCAGAGTTGTACTGTATTTCTTTGTTTTGTATGACCCCCAGACACAAGCTTCTAGTAGAACACGCTACACAACACCAGCTCTAGGTGTCCAGCGTCAGGGGATTATGGGAAGGAGTTCAGAAGCGACAGCCATGATGGCTCAGCAGGTTGACCGTCCTAAAAAGGATGGTCACGTGACTACCCGGCAGCAGCTCCATGCCACCAATGGGAAAGACAAGCAGCCAGGATAGTCATGTGACCAGACAAAACCGCTCCATCCATTTAAAAAAGGAGAACTATGGGGTTAAGTCTTTTCCCCATAGTTCTCCTTAGGGTAACGGGAGGACACAAACTAGCGTCCTCCCGTCACCCTAGGCTCAGTATACCACGAGCTGTAGCTTGCGGTATACTGAGACGCCGCAGCCGGAGTGGATCCCGACAATTGTGCCGGGATCCGCCCACCTGCGTGACTGACATCTGGCTCTGCCTATCTAAAAGGCAGAGCCAGCTGTACCCGCCCCCTCCCCCGTCCGTTCCGCCAGTCAGCGCTGGCAGATCGGAGCGGGGAGAGGGGAATCCAGCCCCTCCCCTGTCACGGCAGAGAGCCGTGACAGGATCGAGAGGTGAGGGAACCCGGTATGTGTTCTCTCACCTCCCGATCTACTGAGCCGACCTGTGATAGTGTCATTGTCACAGGTCGGCTAGAACTATGAGGTGAGTGAAAAGCACCCCCTCCCCCTCATACTTCTCCTTTAATAAAGGTGTCCGGGCGAGTGTAGCATTAGGAAAGACCCTCCTCAGCGTAATTAGGGTACATACAAGTCTAATGTCCCCGTCCAAACCCAGAAGTGGAGGGATTTCTAGGTATGTGGTCAGTGGGTGAAGGTTTATCGCGGTATCAGCCTACAAGCTCTACAAGTCTTGGACATCATAAGAGAAGCACTCTTACAGAAGTCAGGCTCGTGCAATGATATCAAGTATGGAATACAAGAGCATTTCTCGGAGCGTTGGGTCATTGTGGTGCAATCCTAAAAATTGTGACATTATAGGGGGGGGGGTCAACCGCTGCTCACTTTGGTGTATGACGCAGGGGCTTGAAGTTCCGCAGTCACATGACATACACATATTTCATTTCACCCTCAGTCTACACTGTACCAGTATTGCATTTATTATATAGGAATGTAAGCTGAAGTATAATGTATAATACCACCCCTCCCCCCCACAGGGCTTTCTCTCCCCTGTCTCAGTGACTGAGGAATGGGGAGAAAAGGTTGCTGGGAAGGGGGTGGGACTTAAAAGCTGCACTCCCGGATCCTGCACCGCTCCCTTTCCCCATGCACAATAAAAACATAGATTTTTTTTAAAATAATGCCTCTTTTTTGGATCAATGAATGCCTTTTCTGCTGTGTGATGTCATCGGCTCCATAAGTATAGTACTGCGTCCGGGTGCTGGAGGGAGGAGCTAAGCTGGCAGCACGTGTCACATCCAAGAGGGGAAACAGCAACTACGTTTCCCATGATGCCATAGGAATGAAGTGACATGCTGTGCCAAGCAGAGGCGCTGTTAGCATAGCTGCCAATCAATGGCTGTGGGCGGGTCATGTTCGGGTGCTGCGGTGTCATACCCGCCCACAGTAGTAAGCGTGACGCAAGCATATCACTGATCTCCTATAGAAAATAACACAGAGGAAGAAACGCGACTGGGAGCCATTCCTCCATGAAGAGAAAACATCGGCGGACAAACGCACAACCCCCGAAGCGTTTAACACCACCCAAAAATAAAGATCACTTTAAATTTGTTACCTGCTGGCAAATGCTGGCATAGCGAGCGAGCACGTTGGCATTCTCAATGATGGCGAGGCGAGAGGGGGTGTGGTCAGAGATTTTCAGGACACAACGCCACTTGGCGAAGTCAGCAAAAGCTCAGTTCTAGCAGAAGATTAAAGTGTATGAGAAGCCAAAACATCACCGAAAGCCACCCAAAAATCTACCCCCCTCTAGTGGTGCCGGTGATCTCCATTACTAAAAATTATGGGAAATCTAAATTTTTGAGTGTTCACAGGAACACAAGGTGAGGGGGAATCCTCTAATGGGGACAGCTGTCCTGGTGACATCTGTCAAAGAGAGGACACCTCCTCGGTTTGCAGTGATTCCCTCTTACTTCCTGCTGTGTCTCGGAGACAGGAAGTGAAGAGAAATCTCCCTGATGGGACACAAACACATTATCATAACCTGACGGGGTCTTAGCCATCCTTTACTCTGTTCAACTAATGGGGCTTTACATACACTTTAAGGTGTCACCACACCTGCAGGACCGCAGGCAGCTATCGCCATAGCGACCCAGGCGGCTGCTATGGGGCCCAGGGCACAAGGGGGCCCGGGCGGGCAGGACGAGAACAAAGGGGTCCCCGTGATGCCGTGCGAGCCACCTGGGTGGCTGTGGCATCACATGCTGCTGACTGTCACGAGGAACGCACAACCTGTCAGTGATCTGTGCAGCGGCGCGTTCCTCCTCACAGCCACTGCGGAGTCCGTCACAGACAGCAGCCGCGGTGGAGGAGTCAGGGGCCCGGTGTCGGCAGCGAAGGAGGTGGGCAGGGTTGTAACCGGCCCACCCGAGACCCTGCAAAGCCCACAATAGAGAGCCTATGGTGGGCTGGCAGGGTCACTCTCAGGTGGGCTGTGCGGGATCTCAGGTGGGCTCTGCAAGGGGCGTAACTAGAAATTACAGGACCCCATACAAAATTTTGCTATCGGGCCCTGTGATTTCTAGTTACGCCCCTGCTACATTGTTATCTACAGAAATCTTAAAATGTCAGGATAAAAGCTTTATTTAAAAGAGACACATATGCCTGCGTATGCCAGGCCTAATGACAAGTGTCTGCCCAGGGCATCCCTCATACAGACGGCCTTTACCTGCGCTCCTCCACAACTAGGGAGAATACCCGGCACCTCCATGTTTGGAGGAACATGTGACCTGCACCCCTGTGATGGCATCTGGGTCTAACAGCCAATCGTTATGTTGTGTCCCCTGGTAATGTGACATGACCCAACAGGGGACAACCCCGACACCTGTAATGGGCCGACTGTGGAGGAGGAAGGAATGTCAGGGAAGCATGCATGAGCAAGTTGGGTATGGATGGGGAATGGGGGGGGAGGGCTGTTATGACAAAATGGTCATCGCTTAGTGCGTCGTGGGCGGCAATGCATAGGCTCCAGCAAGGCCCAGTTCTGTATGGGGCTATGGACCTTCTGTTATGGGGCTGGAGGAAGGAAACAATGGACTACAAGTGCGCTGATCAATGCACTGCGTGTTCCTCTGTTGCAGAGGCAAATGGGACCTGTAGTCATCCCACGCACCGATCCCCGAGAATGACGTGGCTTATTCCGATTGGCCGATCCCAAGCCATAACTCTCTTACCCTGTGTTGTGGTCTCTCCGTTGGTTCCGGCCAGAGGGACGACACCTTTGTCAACCTGAGAATAGAAAAAGAGAACCGTTCTGTAATGGACCGGCACCAGAACCGAAACATACCCAACGCCAACCTACCGGCAATCCCCCCGGGCTCACCTTGATTCCCACCACGGCTCCCTTGTCCTTGATGACCTTGGTGAATAGGGCGCCGCTGTCTGCCTTGTGGTAGAGGGTCTCGTGGAACAAGATGACGCCACCGATGCAGGGGTTGACTCTGTCGTCGGCGGTGAAGAGCAGCTGGCGGTAGAAGCGGCGGTTCTCCTCGGTGTTCTCTACGCCGATGGAGGTCAGGCGCTTGGCAATGCTGCCTGAAGAAGGAAGGTTGTTAAAGAGGACCGGTCAGTGATTGTACAAGTCTGCGTCAATAAATTCCTGGACGTGTCACCATGTACAGCGCCACCTTTTATCACTAACAAGCCGCCCTTGAGCTCTAGTCCAGTGACTATGCCCAGGGGACATGATGTCATCAGTCCTGAGGAGACAGGAAACGCTTCCTCCTTCCTGCAGCAGACTGCAACATTGTAACTCTGTAGCAAATCACAAGGTTAGAGGCTGCAACAGGAGCTGATCTGTGTCAGACATTTGTGAACACAGCCAAGAACTGCACTGACTCCAACTTAGAGAAGGCCAAAAACAGCCTTCTGTAAGTTCCAGTCAGTGCAGAGAGCTATAGCCGTAGGGAGTGAGAGAAAACCCTCACTCCCTGCGGCTATAGCTCTGTCTATTGATAACTGGACCGAGCTCATGGTTGTAAGCTGGTGGAGAGGGTGGAGACTGCTGGCCGACCTATTTGTTCATTTTTATTTCACTTCCGCTGCGGTTTCAACAACGGTAACTATTGCAGGTTAGACTTGATGTGTCACACGTATTACTGACAGTTGCATCACACGCCAGCTAGCAGCTGCTGCCTCATTATGATGGTATCAGCCTCTCTGCGTGCTTGATTTAAAGGGGAGCTACTCCCTCCACTAAAAATATTGCGTCCACCTAATAAAATGCGTCCACCAACTCTCTCACTGGTATCAACATTTGTACCTGGTCTCCTGGGTATGGGATCTCGCCAGGATGACAAGCCAGGATGACGGGATGAAGCTCATTCATCCCAGCAGATGCTGGAATTGTACGCCGTGCTGCAAATGCGCGGCTCAGCGTACATTGTCAAGCAAAGTTTCTAAAGTAGAACTGGATCCAAAACTTTTTTTGTTTTGTTTTGTTATAAAAAGAAGGTCATAACCTCTGTAGCTTTTTTATTTGCCATCTTTCTCCCATTGGGGGTGATTTACCTCTACTTCCTGTCTGATAGCCACCGCCAGGAAAGTGAGAGGAAATAACTCCAAAGTGAGGAAAATCCCTGGTTGTCACCAGAACTAGTGTCCCCATTGGAAGAATTCCCATCTGTTCTGGTCGACAACCCGAAATGTGGGATTGACCCTGTCACACCATCAGGGGTGCATTCCTGTGCGTCCGGCCTCTGGAACGCAACCCGGCCGGCTCAGTTTTTGTGTTTGCAGATCACTAATGTGCCACGCGTTCGGGTGCCGGCGGTCGCACCGCGGGTGGGGGGCCTGGCTGCGGTGTCATGGAGTTCAAATGCACTGCCACTCCCCCTCCCAAAAAACTGAGCCGGCCGGATTGCGTTCCAGAGGCCGAACGCACTGGAGCACACTCCTGATGGTGCGACAGGGCCCTCATTGATAATGGGTAAATCTCCCTAACGGGGGCACAGACGGCAATAAAAACCTGTGAGGTGTCATAATCACATTTACACTGAACACCGAGCTACGCATTTGCGCAATGCCGCCATCTGCGCATGTGGAAGAGTCAAGTCATCCCGGCCTGGCCAATCAAGATGGGAATAGACCCCAAAATTGGAAGAAGCCAATGAGAAAATGCTGGTGCCGGTGAGAGAGCCCGCGGACGTTGCATCACTGTAGTGGAGGTGAGTAGAGTTCTGCCTCTTGTTGCTAAGCACTGAACTCTCGTCAGCGGAGGCTCCCCATCCCAGTGATGCAATTTCCCAGCACTTCCTGTCCCCAGAGACAAACAGTAAGCGAGTGTAAATCTCCCCGACGTAAAAAGAAAAAAACACTACCTCTGACAGATTCACTGTAAACACATTGGACAATTTTCACTCTATTACAGTGACAGTTAGGCCCCGTTCACAACCAGGGCAGATGCAGTTCACTGTGCAAATTTTAAAAGGGTGGTTTTGGGCATTTTTTATTGCGTCTCAGCGCTGAGACGCAATTAAAAACACCCAAAACCAGTTCCATTGAAATCTATATGGAAACCGCGCTGATCAGTGCAAAACTCAGGGAGCATTTCGGGTGGCAGGCGGCTCAGACGGCGCGGTCGCATGAACGGTCCCCATAGCAATGTATGGGATTGTTCATGTCGGCGGTTCAGCGCAGGGCGAACCGCCCCGGTGTGAACGGGGCCTTACAGTGACAGTTATAACATTTTGTATCTGCCACCAGTCTCTGTGACAACGGGTCTCCAGGACAGGAAATGAGATTGGATCTTCCCCATGGAGGACACCAACTCCTCATCATTCCATGCAGAGAGGAGAAGACAGAATCCAGAGCAGTTGCCCATAGCAACCGATCATCTTCTCTTTCATTTTGAAAGCTTAACTGAACAAATTGAAGAGAGAAGTTGATTGGTTGCCAAGGGCAACTGCTCCAGATTCAGGCTGCTCCAGTTTTGATAAATGTCTCCCTCCGCTCCATGTCTGTGTTTTCTTAGTACTCGAGGTGCAGTGAAGGAGGGGTAGGAGGGAATACCCAAAATGCACTCTGGCTGCACCATGGCCGCCATTTGTTGACAGTTGCTATGGCGGCAGCAACTCAGAAACCAATACAGAGACAGGGAAAAGTTCAAATCTTTGTCAGGATGTTATTCCGACCTGTGACCACACTGGTGAGAATTCCCTTACCTCCTGTCCCCTTGTCACTCGTACAAGAAGGAGGCGCAGTTGTCACCGGGACAGGAAGACGGAGATTTGAGCTTTAACCGAGATAGGAGCAGGAGGTGTATGAACCACAAAAGTGGCCAGGCAGAATTACCAAATCCTTTAGCACAGTGATAGACCACCTGGGCACTGCAGCTGAGGTGACACTACAAATCCCAGCATGCATCTGCCTCTGGGGGTCATGCTTGTGGCTGTCAGAGTCTTGCAATGCCTCATGGGACTTGTAGTTCACCAGGAGTGCTGAGGTCACCTGCCCCTGCTCTGGCACACAAGACACTCAACAGATGCGTCTTTAGCCATTTGCCTGGAGTCCGGCTGTAGGTCCCATGCACAGCACAAACGCATGAAATGGTGACGCGCGTTCACGAGCGTTAGTTTCCCGCGTTTGGTGCACGTATCTATTGTTTTCAATGCGGGAAAGTAGCGCATGTAGCAAAAAAATCTGCATCACGCGTTCCGCTTTTTGTGTGCTCATTCGCATGGCGGTTAAAAACACTGCGCATCCAAATACACAGCCCCGTACACACAGCTGCGCTTGGGGCCATGTTTTTGCGCTGCATACATTGGAACAGAGCTGCGCCCGGGCCTGGAAATAGTGTGTGTTTTTTTACACGCATGTGCATGTAAATATGTGCGTGGTTTCCGGTGCTAGAAAACTTTGTATGCATAAAAACGCGTACAGACTGAATGCACACGTCTACAAAGATGCGTATTTTACGCATGAAATTCTGCACTTCTGTTTCTTCTATGCACATGTGAATGATCCCTTTCCTGCGCGTTCACGTGCACTTAACGTGCGGGAACACACAGGAGGGCCGCACGTTTGTCTTGCCGCGTTTTGGGTGCAATTAACTAGCATTTCCACAAATGGTGCTCGTTTGATGAATGTGCGTCAAAGCATGTGTTTTTTTACCTGCGTCTGGCGCGCAATCACGGAACGCAATGGTGTGAATGGAGGCTAAAGGTTTCGAAAGACATGCGCCCACCGTGGCACAGATTTACAACAAGACGCACAGACACTCTTACCTGTGGACTCATCGGCGGCCAGGATGCCCTTGCCGGTGGCCACGATGCGCTGTGCGATCTCATGGAGCTCCTTCTTCTGCTCGGTGGTGAGGGCTGGGTATTCGGTTGGCATTTTGCTACGTTCTGGAACACAAGAGGGCGACGCGGGATTAGTGGGCGAGAGGCGCGGCGTCCGGAAGGAGACAGTACAAAGCTCGGGAATGTCAAGGCATGCAGATACAACGAGGACACACCTATGGGGCAAGACCTGCGCCAGACACTGTTATGTTAACCCCTTCCTCACCAACAACATAAAAAAAAACAACTTATTGCACCCTGACAATGGTTGTCACCGTTCACGTACTGTCCTGCCTCTGCGTATATTTGCCCAAAATATGCGTCTCTAAAAATAAGCATGGCTGTCAGCGGGAGACGTCCTCCAGGAGAGGAGACTTAGAGGACGCACAGCCATTGAGGACACCTGACAAACGCACAATAACCGGCTCTGGCACCGGAAAGGTTACAAATATGTTTTTTTTCGGAGCGATGGCTCGCAGTGAAGTTTCCTTCTCGGAAATGATGAGGCAAAAAAGGAAGTTGCAGAATCTTCGAGGCCTCGCGAGGACGCAGCGCACATCGGGGTGACAGAGGCATGCTGGCTGGATGGCATGGTTAACCCTTTCCATGCAGAACGTGACAGGGCACGGAGTATAAACCCCCACCCCCACCCGAGAAGGTGCAGGGTGCCTTCTCGGGGGGAATGATCTGCACTTCCTGTCTGCATCAGGTATCTTCTGATATTAACCTCTGAGAGAACCAGGGTTGGGTAACCCTTTCACTGCCAGGATATCAGTCACTTCATCTTCAACATTCACTCCGAAATTTCAATATTCTACAATCCCTCATCGCCATCTTTAGTCAGGTTTGTGGTCCATCGTTAACCACCTTCATATCCACTCTATATCAATAATATCCCCCACATCCAGGAGGGTCCCCCATCTCCATCATCAGCCTCCCAATGACCTCATCAATAATCAGTGACCTTCAGCTCTGTATCCTCTCCATCCTCCTCCTCCATGCAGAGGTCATCGATGAGCTGAGTTTCCCCTTCCAGCCTCACTGATTATACACATGCTCCTCTCTGCACCTCCATCACCACCTACCTCTCTCCATCACCACCTACCTCTCTCCATCACCACCTACCTCTCTACTCCTCTCTCCATCACCACCTACCTCTCTACGACTCTCTCCATCACCACCTACCTCTGTATACCTCTCTCCATCCTCACCTACCCCTCTCTCCATCCTCGCCTACCTCCATCACCACCTACCTCTCTACTCCTCTCTCCATCACCACCTACCTCTCTACGACTCTCTCCATCACCACCTACCTCTGTATACCTCTCTCCATCCTCACCTACCCCTCTCTCCATCCTCGCCTACCTCTCTCCATCCTCACCTACCTCCATCACCACCTACCTCTGTATACCTCTCTCCATCCTCACCTACCCCTCTCTCCATCCTCACCTACTTCTCTCCATCCTCACCACCTACCTCTCTACTCCTCTCTCCATCACCACCTACCTCTCTACTCCTCTCTCCATCACCACCTACCCCTCTCTCCATCCTCACCTACCCCTCTCTCCATCCTCACCTACCTCCCTCTCCATCCTCACCTACCTCCCTCTCCATCCTCACCTACCTCCCTCTCCATCCTCACCTACCTCCATCACCACCTACCTCTCTACTCCTCTCCCCATCACCACCAACCTCTCTCCACCCTCACCACCTCTCTCCATCCTCACCGACCTCCTTACTTCATCCTCATCTAGCCCCCTACTCCTCTCTCCAACCTCCTCTACTCCTCAAGGTCCCTGTCCCAGTCCTAGTCCTGCAGTCCTTCCATCACGTTCGCCATCCTCGAGTGACGTCATCACCCTCCATGCTGGGGATCTTCCCCCCCCGACCTCATCTTCTATATTGTTACAATGTATGAGGAGTATCCTCCTCTTCATCCCGGGCCTGTTTATAGAGAATGTGATCCACCCCGATCTTCTCTATACAAGGAACTCCCGCCATAGTAGTAACCCCCAGATCTCCCCCCCATGGCCGTACCCCCTCGAGCTTCCCACCTCGGCTGTACCCCCCCCCCCGAGATCCCCCCTTGGCTGTACCACGGAGCTCTCACCTCTTCCACGATCTTCTATGAACTGATCCTCAGTGTTCTCATTCAGAACGTCATGTATCAGGGCGAGGGGGGCGGGGCCGCCAGTTAAAGGGACCACTCACATCCAGGAGCGCAGGGTTCCCTTCTTAATCCAACTCAAGGTCACCCAAGTGCAGCTATCCCCCCCTCTCCACACCCCCCATGAAGGATATATTATATCAAATCGATGATTTATGACTCTACAGCAGCATGACACTGACTTCAACAAGAGCCAAACGAGCCATCCCCCTGCTGTGATCACTACACATGTGTTACATGTTACTATCTGATGTGTGTGTGTGTGTGTGTGTGTGTGTGATGGACAGTGTTGTGTGCCATTCATGAAAGTCACATTGAGGGGAGCACCATGACCCCCCCCTTCCGGATGGAGAGCTCTCATTTCAGACGTGACAGCAGGCACAGCCGCAGATCTGATGTCACGTAGTACAGTCATCTCTGCCTCTATCACACCCCCATCTTCTTTCCTGTGCACAGTCATCCAAGGCTGCAGAGCATCGCACTTCCTGCAGGGCATCTCGCATCGTCCCCTCCCCCCACCCCATCAATCTAAAAGAACTCTCCAAATACAACTTCCTTTTCGTTCAAATTGTAGTCATGAAGAATACAGAGAGGATGAAAAAAAAAAGAATAAGGCGGATATGACATAAAATAACAATCAATCGAAGGAAATTACAATTATCGAATGAAAATTTGATGTTCTGGTATATACTTAACAAGATCAGGTGTTAAAATGAAAGGAGAAATATAATAATCGAGTTTAAAAAGTTGCTGCGTTGGCCGGGAATCGAACCCGGGTCAACTGCTTGGAAGGCAGCTATGCTCACCACTATACCACCAACGCTCCATGCTGTGTGCTCGGAGTGTAGTGTTTAAGAGGGCTGTACAGCCCCATGTATAGTGAAAAATCTCTCATATAAATCACTTTTATAGTTACTTCACAGATTGTAAGATTAGATAAGGGCCTAATATTTGCTTCTAGTTATATACACTGCAGTCTAGCATTGATTGTACTTTACTGTTCCTCCTTGTCAAGCTTGTAAGCTCTCAGGAGCAGTGTCATTGTAATCCTTTTGTATGGTATTGTATTGTAACTTTACTGTCTAACCATATGTGCAGTCTGTTGGCACTATATAAATCTTGTATAATAATAATCATCATTTTGCAAGCCGAGCACTAACCCTAACGTCTGTTCACGCTGAATGAAAGCTACATAACCTCTTGATGGCAGACAGCGGCGTCACCAAGCCTGGTGTCACCTGGTGCGGCCGATGGGTTGTCCCCCAGTGCGCTCGTCACTACTGTACGTATACCCGTGATGTCACTACGTACGCGCGTAATGACGTCACGTGCACTTCACTGCCAGCGGCCATCTTGGTGATGGACGCCGGTGTTCTGTCGAAGGCTGCCACCCGTCGAGATCTCCGACTGGTGACTTTCCAGAAGTTGCCAGTAGGAGATTTAAGGCCGTGACACACTGCACGCGAAGCAGCGCGGAGCGGTGGCGCGCTGCATTTGCGAGCAGTGTGTCATGTCACTTTCTTCTCGGCACCTCAGCTTGCGAGAGCTCGCAGAGCTGAGCGTGCCGAGATGAACAATTTCAACTTCAGCCAATCGGCTTGCGCGTATAAACCGGCGCGACGGGATGCGACGTCTGGCCGGTTGTTACAGACGAGCCGATTGGCTGAAGGTGCTGTCAATCATCTGACTGCACTCAGCTCACACACTGCACACGAAGCTCCGTGCCGGAGAGCTTTGCTTCGCTCTGCACGTCTTCGCGTGCAGTGTGTCACAGCCTTTAGACCAGGTGGCGCTGGTGCGCGTGTGCCAGCAGTGCCGCTGTCAGAATCCTCTTGGAGTCATTGAACAGCTGTCACTGCACCTGTGTAGCTTCACAATCCCCATCAAGTTCTCCAACCGCCGTCAGTGCGCCTGCACAGTCACCGAACAGCGGAATGAAGTCCTCCGAATAGCGTTTGGTGAGCCATGCGCCCATCTGTGAACACAACATGCTGAGAGATTACATGTTTTGCCATCTGGTGACCGCGCAGGCATGCTGACCGGGGTCGGACAACTCGATGGGAAACGCGAGGCCACGCAGGCACAGTAACGGGAGCTCGATAACCCGATGAGGATTCTACCGCTGGCACACGCACACTAGCGCCATCTGGTCTAAATCTGCTACTGGTGAGTCACCGGACGTGATGTCACCAGTCGTAGATCTGGACGGGTTGGAGATTTTGACAGAACACTGGCAAAGAGAAGAGGGGACATTCTTCTGGCAGGATAAGGTATGCCGCAGGGTCCCCTCCTCTCTCGTGCAGCTGTCAGGACCTCGGTCCATGACCGAGTGCCAGACTTTTCAGAGGGGGTGACACCAAAATGACTTGGCTCAGAAAGCACTGAACCCAATGGATCAGTATGACAACCAGCCAATTAACATTTTGAAAGGGAGAAGTCAGATAACGCGCAGCCGTTGCAGATTGATGAGTCAGAACCGCCCTTTAAATTAATTAAGCTATAAACACGCCGTTCGCCAAAGAGATCTTTATTAATAGCAATGGGTGGTTGTACGTTACACGGCCATCATTGCACCGGTAGGGGCTCATTCACACCATGCAGCGTGCGTTATTGTGCACACAAAACTCGGGCAATGCCGTGCAGAATGAATGCGTCGGTGAAACATATTGCAGGGCTTCATTCTGATGCAATTCTATGTGCTGGAGCGCGTTGCGATGTGTTGCACAAGAATGGAACACGCCCTATTTTTTTCAGCGCACGCCAACGCCTCACATAGCCATAGGAAATACGGACAAATTGCCCTTTTCTTGCCTCGGGCAATGCTGCTGGTGTGAACGAGCCCTTAGTGTTTGTTCCGAGGAAAAAATTAGATACAATCATTCTGAACACATCCAGAACAACTAATAGGAAATCCTCTGTGATGGATCTAACCGCAGTAATCTGATATCTGGTTGGGTGGCAGGGGTTATTGCTGTTGCCCCTTGCACTGTTTGGCCCTCGAGGGCCGGAGTTGGACAACCCTGATGTTAGTGCTGAAGGTTGGCAGAAAGCATGAAAGAACATATTGGGGTGACGGTCAGCAGGTGTGGAGGATTGGGGTATAGATAGTTACCACCCTCGTCCGCAGGTCCTGAGGGTACACGGTTTATTCCTGGGGGGGGGGGGGGGGTGTCGGTGTTGAAGCAGCTGTTGGGTGACAGTAACTGAACCTCCAGCCGCCAGAAATAGCCGCGACCTTTACCGAGAGCAGCAGCTGACTGCCGGGCTCAGCCGGTGTGTACAAGTGCCAGAAGACATAGTGACTGCGGAGGAGACCTAGGGGCCCGGTGGAGCAATAAAATGCCATTTACAGTGTATTATATTTATAACAAGACATCCTGTCCTTAGATGTGTCTGCACCCCCCAACCCTCCCCCCCATACCTTCCAGTCCTTAGATGTGTCTGCACCCCCATACCTTCGAGTCCTTAGATGTGTCTGCACCCCCCACCTTCCAGTCCTTAGATGTGTCTGCACCCCCCATACCTTCCAGTCCTTAGATGTGTCTGCACCCCCAATCCTTCCAGTCCTTAGTTGTGTCTGCACCTCTCCCCACACATTGCAATTGTACAATCTCCTTTAGATCTACCAACAAGTATGTAATACAAGAGCCTGCCTGATTGGATGCAGACTGACAGTGTAGATCAGGTCTGTCCTCATATTACACAGTTTTGGTAAATCTAAAGCTGATTGTACGGTCAGATTGTAACATGTGTGGCGAGCCTTAAAGGGAACTCTGCTCATATATTCCACTTATCTGCTTTGGATTTGGAATTAGTATTTGTTACTTTGTATGTTTCCAGTCCTTTTCTGGAGCCAACATGGTAAATAACATTTTGGCTGTAACCGGCAACTGTTACAAACTTACAAATATCGACTCCAATGCCAATGAGGACGACTTGTGTTTTTTTAAGAGGGGGGCTTTTGTGCACGGTCGCCGGGCAGCAGAAAGGGACCCCCCGAGGCATTTGGAAGGGGACAATGGGAGCCGTCTGGACGGGGTCCCCGCGGCATGTGTTGCGGGATTAGACGACAGCGCCAGGAATCTGCTTGGGTCAGCGGGATTTCGGGAGGAGGTGGGGGACGGACAGACGAGGGGGCTCAGCAATCGATGGACCGCCATGTCCATTCAATGGAGCAGGCTGAAGCGTATCTACACTCTCACTGGCAGCTAAGAGGTTAACCCAGCGCCTGGGGGTCTGACAGGTAATTATGGTAGGAGGGCGTCATTACGGTAAGCAGGCGCCACTGTCTGTGTGACTTGTCTCACGTACGCTCACACGTAGACTGTGCGAGGACTGCAACCCCCCTGCTGCCAACGCACAGCGACAGGAAAAAGGGGGGGGGGGGCTTTTATTTCATAGGGAAAA